TTTTTTTAAACATGTTGATTGTAATTTGCATGTAACGTTAGTGGCTTTTTCACACACACAGCTTGCTCCGAAGACAACCTGAAAAGGGATCATGGCTTTTTTAAGGAAGATATATTTTTTGTTCAGCTGCTACCTTTGCTAGTCCTTTTTCCCAAGGTGTAGTGTAAGCTGCAGCAGAAAATTCATTAGGAAATGTGTAACATAGTTGTGCAGGTGTGGTATTGTGGTGGTTTCACACTGCCTGAGCAGTACTGTGTTGCTGGTGTTCCCCTTTCTCAGAAGGGTGGGGAGAGAAAAAGGGATGGAGAAAAGCTTGTGAGTTGAGATGTGGGCAGGGGCATAGCTCGCCAGTTACTCAAGTGGGCAAAACAGATTTAACATAAGGGAGTTAAATGTGATTTTATGCGTACTGAAATAGAAGAGAACTAAAAGCAAACTAAAACCACCTTCCTCCCCTCCATCTTTTCTGCCTTCTCCCTCTCCCTGAGCAGAGCAGAATGGGGGCTGTGATCTGATCAGAGCAGCTCTGGCTGCTCCAACACGGCCCTGCTGCAGCCAGAGCTCTGCTCACAGAGTGCATCCCTGCAGACCCCAGCTACCAAAACCTTCCCACATGAGCCCTATACAAGGAGATTTGCATGTAAGAGGCCTTCTGGAAAAACACTGGAGTCTTGATTATGACAGCCGTTTGTCAATCACAGGTACTCATAAAGCAGTGGCAGATAGAGATTCTGCTGCAGAAACCTGGAACAGTTCTCACTGCAGCTGCTAAAGGAAGGTTTTTTCTTATTTCAGTTGAGCTAAGGAAGTCTAGTTTCTCTGTCTAAGAAAACAAATTCTAGTTATTGCTGTTATGTTAGGCTCATAAATGCTTCCTAAAAGATTGTTAATCTTTGGTTTACATAATGAAATCAAACTGTTTCCGGGATTAGCTAACAGTAGTTAAATTATAGCCCGTAGCTGCTGCTATTCTGACTTTACAGGTGTTGCCCATTAAAGCAAAGAGATTTTTTTTTTCTACATAATAGTGCCTAGACAAAAGGTATCTAAAGTTTATTGTGTGAGGATTGTCTTCATGTAGAAGAACTACAAAGATGTACCACAAGTGGTAATGCCTCTTTGGCTTGATTACATTGATGTCTTGTAAATACTGGGCTTGCTTCTGCCTTTATGTCCCTTTCCCAAAATTATTGTCTATTTTTTTTAATATGAACTGCCTATCATGAGAAACCTGTGACACTATAAGTGTCTGTGACTGGTAACAACTGCACAGCGGTTACATGTCTGCTAAATTCAGCTGCTTTAGAGAATGGCTGCCTCCCACGTTTCTTGACTCCATTGGAGCTTTTGTTCTTAACCAAAGGCCTTTTACAAATCTCCACTCAAAATGTCTGAGTGTTTGCCTCCTGTTTGTTATAGATGACAGACCAGGGCCAAACCTGAGTGTGCAAAGACCAACTGGGATGGAGTGAAACGAGTTTTTGCTGTTAGCCCCAGTTGAATTTTCAGCTTTCCCATAGGCTTACCTGGGACGGACAGACTAGTCTTGTAGTTTAAATTCATTACGACAACGTAATTCTGCTCCGTAATCTGCGCTGCAAGATGAAACAGTTCTTAGAGCCATTGGGTAGCCTGGTGCTCAGCTGCTCTGGTGGGACAGTGCACACGGCAAAGCTGCTGCAGCAGGTGGAAGTGCTGGTCTTTACCAGGAGTTGTAATTGTATCACCTGTGTGAAAGTACAGAGACAAGTCATTTTTATTGCCGCATTTTTTGCGCATGTGTAACTGTGATCAGTGTTGGGAACAAAGGTCCCTCAGACACGAGCATTAAGCTCACTGCACTGAAGAAAGCACATCGCCTTCATTTTGCCTCAAACTTTGTTCCAAATTCTTTACGCGTAGCAGGGTTGAAGTATATCCCTGACAGGATATATGAAGGGACAGGAGCAGCTGGGATGAAGTCAGCCGAAAGCTCTGCTGGAAGCATGATTTGCTCCTTCATATATTCCTGATTGCCTGGGAGGGGACGGCGTGTTTCCTCTGCAGGACGCTGCTGACTGCAGGAAAGTAAAGGGCCTCCAGTGGCTCAATATGGATGTGGTGGGAGAAAATGAGGCCTTGCAGCAGTTCTTTGAAGGTAAGGGCTTAGCTTGGTTTTAAGAGTCTCAACAATCTGTTGTGGCAGCAAAAGTACACCAACTGTTTGAGATGAATTGAAGAAGAAAGGAGGAAGCCCCCAAACGACAGCTCTATTTACACAAAGCAGTGGTGTAATGTGATCCTGGAATGAAAACAGCCCCGGCAGGATAGACGTGCTGCTGTGCGTTTTTCCTTCAGGGAGAGCAGCAAAAGGAAGGTGCCAGGGCTGAGCCCGTGGGAGGGACGGCGCTGGTGACTGCTGGGAGGAGAACGGGGAAGGGGCCGAGGGCTCCTGGCAGCTTCTTGCTTCTGACGTCCCAGTGATCTTCATGAGGTCAGGGAGCTCCCTCCTTGTTCCAGCTCATCCGCTCGGGTTACAGATGGCTGTTCTTTCCACTCCTATGTCTGATTATAATTGCCATTTTTTGCCTTTCTCTGAGATCTGCCTTTTTTCCCCAAGACATTTCCCACTCAAGCAGGTCTCTTGTCTTTCTCTTACCACAGAGAATTTCTACTAGACTCCTTGATCAAACTGCATTGCTCAGACCCTGCCATAATGTAATTAAAAATGACTGTTAAAAGGTTATGTATTCTTTTACTTTCTAAATCTTTCTTTCCTCGCTGTAGTGTTCTCCTTGCATTTTTTTTCCATATTACCCTTGCAATTCCAAGTTTCTGTATTCTTTTTCATTCTGTGTATTCTATTTTTCATTCAGTGTCCAGGCATTCTTCTTGTGATACTGGTCTTATCTAGAAAGGCTACTTTTCTGGCTTGGCCAAAGTGGGCATTTTTTCTTCACCTGCATTTAATTTTCCATTATGCTAAACAGGTGAATTATTATTACTACTATTATTTTGGCTGGCATTTGTGGCCTAACTGAAAGGTGGCAGCAGCTCTAACTTTTGACCTTGAATTTCAGAAAATTAAATTTTTGCTTGCAGAAATTAAAGTTTTGCTTGCAGTCCTCAGGGAATTGTTTTTAAGGCAAGAAATAGAAATCAGTGACTCACAGCTTCTGGCTGCTAGCAGATGAATGTGTCTTTTTCTAGATATTACAAAATTCATGTTTCTTAAATTTACTTTAAGTCACAAAGGTCACAAGTTAGTAGACTTTCCTTGCTTTGCTTTTAGAAGGCGTTTGTTTTTATCAAGCTACTGTTCAAGTACTGTGTTGCACAGCTGTTAAATTCTCTAAATAGCATTGGACATGAATTACCTACAATGCCTCAAAACCTGACTTGGGAAGCAGGGTTTTCTAGGGAGTGTGGACTGTGTCATATTGGCTTTTGGGACATTGATACTTTGGTAGAAGGTATGTCAGGGGTTTTAGCTGTTTAACGGTAATTAATAACTTTAATTCTAGAATGACTGATTTAAATGATGTTTGGTAGAACATCCATATAGGGAAAGGAGAGAAGGAGAAGCTCTGTCAATTCCGTCAAGTAAAAGGAAAGGTGAAACATCTTGGAAAGTTGACATCCTTCAGAAAAATGCAGTTCTGCTGTGCAGCACTAGTACATGGGAAAGGTCTGATTTGAAGCATGGTTTGCATTCTTTTGAAGCAGGGCTTAGCACCGCTGAACCTGCTTAGCGCTACAGCTGGTGGTTTGGCTTGTGTGTTTGTTTTGACAGTCATTGGTATGATCAACTTGCATTTATGTTATTGAGAGAGGGCAGTTTGGAGTTCTCGAGAAAAAGGACATAACATAATATTTGTTTTCCTGTCAATGCCTACTTTCAGTACTCAGTAGACAGACTAGATACGACACTCACTGGGATTTGACCCTGGCTTTTTCTTATTGAAGTAAATGGCTTTTCTGTTGTGCCTGTTGTCTTCTGCCTCATTTCATTCCTCTCACACTAGATACTCCAGTTTTGACCTAAAACTTTTCCATTGTTTCTGTTAAAATTAATACTATTAAAATGTTTAGATTTTTGACTCTGTAACTTCCTATTTGCCAAGGATAGGGCCTTCCCCTGCATAGCAGAGCAATCTCTTATTGCTAATGTTATCAGTAGGCTGAGACACTCAATGAAGGCCAAACTAATTACGCTATTATTTGTTTTTTTTTTTAATTGCTGGAAGGTATTTTCGTGTCTGAGATGCGTGTGTTTGGCCTCAGTGCCCTTTGATATCAAGATGTTTCTTGGTTGTGGAATCACCCCCTCTCTTTGTAGTCCTTGTCCTGCATGGATAACACCAAGTATAGTTTGGTGCTCTTGGCAAATGAATGAAGCCACAGAAGAAACACGGCTTTAAACA